TTGTTTAAAAATATTAAGTATTTTTTTCACGGGAGGTGATTAAAACTTTCAGATTAGCTTTGTACACTACCAAATAGTATATTGTTGACAAACATTTTAGGTAAGTTAAAAGGTTAATATGCCCATCTAAGACTTCTCACCTCTGAATTATATTCAGTGATCATAATGTGATAGGTTTTCATTATAATCTCAAAAATTTAGTTCTCTAAATCAATTGTTTCATTTATCAATTTGTTAAAGTCTTGCAACTACATCCAGAGTGTTAAGTCTGGTGTGTTAAAAGCAATAGTCAAGCTTTGGAGGTTCCTCTTAAGAGTTTGTAGTTTTAGTTCAAATCTGTGTTCCTTGAAATTACTACAGTCTTATGTAAGAAGTTTAAAACTTTCAGCTCTTGGCTCCATTAGTGTGGGTGATCTGGGAATCTTTGCAAGTCTCAGCTTTTTTTGTCTGTAAGAAGGAGTTTTGTCTGTAAGAAGGAAGTTTCTACTTCCTGTGGGTTTTGTAAGATTTAACTTTTGAAACACTTAGCTACCTGCCTCATATTTTAAGTTCTTAGCTGTAACTTTTGTGCTTCAAATTCATCTGTAAAATGGGAATAGTTAATAGAATAGGCATACTTTGATTTATTGTACTTCACAGATACTGTGATTTTTACAAATTGAAGGTTTGTGACATTGCTGTGTATAGACATTTGTTCACTTCCTGCCTCTATGTCACATTTGGTATTTTTCTCAGTATTTCAGACTTTTCCATTATTATATATTGCATTATTATTATTTCATTGTTAAGGTGATCTATGATCAATGATCTTTGATGTTATTTAGAATTGTTTTGAGGAGCCATGAACTGCACCCATACAAGGTGATAAACTTAATTGATAAATGTCATGTTTGCTCTGACTGCTCCAGTGATCAGACTGTCCATCTCTCTTCCTCCCCTCTGGCCTCCCTGTTCCCTGAGACCCAACAGTAGTGAAATTAGGCCATTTGATAACCCTACAACAGCTTCTAAGTGTACAAACAAAAGGAAGAGTCATGTATCTCTCACTTTACATCAGAAGCTAGAAATGATTAAGCTTAGTGAAGAAGAGACGTCAAATGCCAAGATAGGTGGAAAGCTAGGCATCTTGCACCAAATAGCCAAGTTGTGAATGCAAAGGAATAGTTCTTGAAAGAAATTAAAGTGCTGCTCCAGTGAACACACAAATGGTAAGAAAGCAAAACCACCTTCTTGCAGAGAGGGAGAAAGTTTTAGGGGTCTGGATAGAAGATCAAGCCAGCCACAACATCCCTTAAGCCAAAGCCTAATCCTGAGCAAGGCCCTAACTCTCTTCAATTCAATGAAGCCTGAGAGGTGAGGAAGTTGCAGAAGAAGAATTTGCAGCTAGCATAGTTGGTTCACAACATTTAAGGAAAGAAGCCGTGTCCATATCAGAAAAGTTAAGGTGAAGCAGCAGGTTATCCAGAGGATCTAGTTAAGATAATTAATAAAGGCAGCTACACTAAACAGATTTTCACTATAGATGTGACCCTTTTTCACTGGGAGACGATGCCATCTGAAACTTTTATAGCTAGAAAGAAGTCAGTTCCTAGCTTCAAAGGACAGGCTGACTCTTGTTATGGGCTAATGCAGCTGGTGACTTTAAGATGAAGCCAATGCTCATTGACCATCCCCAGAATCCCTGGGCACTTAGGAATTACGCTAATTTTATTCTGCCTATGCTCTAGAAATGGAACCACAAAGTCTGAATGACAGCACATCTGTTTATAGCATGGTTTACTACTATACCGAGTATTTTAAGTCCATTCTTGAGACCTACTTCTCAGAAAAAAGATTCCTTTTAAAACATTACTGCTCATAATAACACAGAGAAAACAAGTAATGATTCTGTAGCATCTTACTATGTTGATTGTCAGTGACTGTAATGGGGTATGTGGTGGGGACTTGATAATAGGGGGAATCTAATAACTATAATATTGCTCATGTAATTGTACATTAATAATACCAAAATAAAAATAAAAATTCAAAAATTTAAAAATTTAAGAAAAGCAAAAAATATATATATTACTGCTCATTGATAGTGTACCTGGTAACCTGAGAGCTCTGATGGGGATGGACAATGAAATTAATGCTGATTTCATGTCTGCTAACACAGCATCCATTCTGTAGCCCCTGAAATAGCAAGTAACTTTGACTTTTAAATCTTTTTTTTCAAATCTCGCTTACTGCTTTTAAAAAAGTTACATATGATAAAATGCACACACCTTGGTGTACTGTTTAATGAGTTTTGACGTGTGAATATACTCATGTAATCATCACCCAGAGCAAGAAGTCTTATAATAGGAGAAATAATTTTGTAAGGCTCTAGCTGCCATACATAGTGATTGTTCTGATGGATCTGGGCAGAGTAAATTGAAAGCCTCTGTAAAGGATTCACCATTCTAGCTGCGCCATTCATGGGAAGAGGTAAAAATATCAACATTCACAAGACTTTGGGAAAGGTTGATTTCAAACCTCATGGATGACTGAGGGGGTTCAAGACTTCAGTGGAGGAAGCAACTGCAGATGAGGTGGAAATAGAAGAGAACTAAAATTAGAAGTAGAGCCTGAACTGCTGCATCTCATGATAAAACTTGAATGCATGAGGAGTTACTTGTGGATGAGCAAAGAAAGTGGTTTCTTGAGATGGAAACTACTCCTGGGAAGATGCTGCAAAGGTTGTTGAAATGACAACAAAGGATTTAGAATATGACATAACTTACTTGATAAAGCAGCGGTAGGGTTTGAGAGGATTGACTCCAATTTTGAAATAAGTTTTACTGTGGATGAAATGCTATCAAACAGTATCACATGCTACAGAGACATCATTTGTGAAAGGAAGAGTCGATCAGTGTGGCAAACTTCATTGTTGTTTTATTTTAAACAATTGCCACAGCCTCCCCAGCCTTCAACAACCACCACCCTGATCAGTCAGCAGCCATCAGCATCAAGGCAAGATTATGCTGAAAGCTTGGATGATGGTTAGGATATTTTAACAGTCAAGTATTTTTTTAATTAAGGTATATACATTGTTATTTGTATATAATGCTATGACACATTTAATACACTACAGTATAGTGTAAACATCATTTTTATATGCACTGGGATATAAAACAATTAGTTTGCCTCACTTTATTGTAATACTTGCCTGATTGCAGTGGTCTGAAACTGGACCCACAATATATCTGAGGTATGTCTAGTCACTGTTTCATTTTTAGTTTCATTTTATGTTCTACTGTAGATACATCATTCAATTTAACTTTTCTGTCATCTCTGAAACCTGAATATCAGAGGACACTTTAAAATATTCTTGCCAGTTAGTTTTATGGCAGTTTGTGAAGAACTACACACAATCACTATGGCTAGCCAGTTTACTCAGTTTTGTTATTCCTGTATATGGATGAATGGAGAGTAAATTCCAGTTTAGATAATGAAATGTAATAAGACATAAAATATAGTTCTAGTAATATTTAAAATATTCTTTGTAAAGTAATTCTAAGGGATTTCAGCTTGGGAGCCACTTAGAAAAAGATCTGGAAAGTAATATTTCTATCACTACTTAATTATACTTCAGTAATATTTTTTTATTATGTCCTGGCAAACCACTTTGCATTTGAAGCTAATGCATAAGATATGTTACTTTTCTTTTGTTTTTTCTTGAACTGATTCTTCATTCCAAATGTTATTGAACATCCACAACTACTAAAATTATGTTACATTGAACTTTTCTCTTAACTTCTTTATCATTCATTAAATAGAGGTATTTCTTGGTGTACTAGTGGTCTTAAAGCCTATACCAGATACATTCTACAACATATTTATCTCTTATTGATGGTAAACTCTACTGTGTGATTTACTATAGAGGGGATGGGGTATTATCCACATGTAAGAGTGTTATTTGTTTCTTTTCTGAATCATAGTCAGGAGGCAAGGTACTCTACTAGCAGAACAAGGCCTTTGGTGTGAAATCCTGACTCCACTTGTTTATGTGACTGAGCAATTTATCTTTTCAGTTTTTTTATATTAAAAATTAGATTCAGTGTTGTGTGAATTGCATGCAACAACTAATATAGTTGACCTTTGTGCGGTATGGGTTTTTACTGTGTGGGTCTGTTATATGTGTATGCTTTTTAGTAAATATTTTAGAGAATTTTTTTGGTTGTTTGTGATGATATGAAAACCAAATTTTTTTCTCTAGCTTATTTATTGTAAGACCGCAGTATGTAATACATATTCAAAGTATGTGTTAATTGTATATGTTATTGGGAAGGCTGGTCAACAGTAGGTTATTAGTTAAGTTTCCAGGGAGTCAAAAGTTAAACACAGATTGTCAACTGTATGTAAGTGGGTTCCGCTAACCCCCATGTTCAAGATTAGCCGTTTTCCTTGTGCTTAGGAAATGCTAGTCTAGTCTCCTTACTGCCCCTTTCTGTTGTCATCTCACCAAATGGTATGGGCAGCAGATGAAATCCAAAGTAGTTACCATATTTAGCTAGACAATTCCAGCATTTAAGCCATCCTCCAGTACTGAAATCTTTAAGCACTATAGCAGCAGTCTGGTAATTTTTTTGTATGTTGAAACCTATAGTAAAGCATAAATTGCTTCTGCCGTGTGTAAAAATATAACACATGAAATCTCTCTTAAAAATTTTTCTTTATATGTACTGATAAAATGAGTTTCTTACATTTTTTGTTTTAGTAATTTAGAGAATAAATTCATTGAGCTGTATTACCTGCAATAATATTTATTGTAAGAGTAAAAAAATAATGTCTTTACCATTTGTAAGGAAACGACAAAATATTTTGCCAATCAAGAATATAAACTGTTGACATATAAAAGTAAAGTAAATGTTAAATTCTGATTAGGTCTAAAGATGAGAAAGTGCTGCCAAGACAATTTTTTAGAATCCTCTACAGACAACATAATGTTAGTGATGTAATTTTTTTTTTACCCCAAACAGGAGAGCCTGACAAGGAGCTGAATACTAAGAAGAGGATTTGGGAGCAGATCCAGTCTGATCTTTACACCAATGAGGAGTGTGTGGCCACGTATAAAGGAGCTCCCTTTGAGGTGAAAGGGAAGGGAGTGTGTAGGGCTCAAACTATGACCAACAGTGGAATAAAATAAAATAAAATGTCTCATTTACTGAAATATATTGGAAAAAATTTAATAACAATAAAAAGAAATGTATTTGTCACTTGTACCTAAAATTTAAATGGCTCATTTTTGTGTTATTTCTCTTTCAGACTTGGCTCGTCTTTTACCTAGTATATCTTTTTAATTGATTGGAGAACCATTACACTTTTACCTCTGGTTTTTTAATCCTTTGTAATGTAGGGAGGAAATTGCCTATGTTTTGGAATTTTTTTACCAGTGATGTTGGTTAGCAGATGGTTTTTTCTTTATACATTTAGATAACCTGAACTAGATTAACATTTATTTCTTGTTTGTAGGCACATGATGTGTGAAATTTCAAGCCCTTTGATTTTTTTTTAGTTAATGTATCAATGATATACAATCTTATGAAGGTTGCACATGAACAACACTATGGTTTCCACATTCACCCATCTTATCAAGTCCCCCATGCCCTCCCATTGCAGTCACTGTCTATCAGTTTAGTAAGATACTATAGAGTCATTACTTGTTTTCTCTGTGCTGTACTGCCTTCCTTGTGACCTACCTATATTGTGATTACAAATTAAAGAGTCCTTTAATCCCCTTCTCCTTTTCCCCCTCCCTCCCTAGCTCCTTCTCTTTGGTAACCGCTAGTCCTATCTTGGAGACTCTTGAGTCTGCTGCTGTTTTGTTCCTTCAGTTTTGTCAGGCTCTTTGATTTTTAATATATTGTATATCAGTATTATAATTGTCCTCTCCTCTTCAGAAATGACAAGTTAGAATTTTTGCAGGCTCAGGAACTAGTCATATTGTACCAATATTGAAAATGACTAACTGTTGATCTAGAGAGCTAAACATTATAAAAGCTAGGAGACATGATATTTGTACATTATTGCCATTGCTTGCCAGCGTAACCCAGACTTGTATACTTATGGTCCCTTTAAAAGAAAGAAATTTCCAAATGTGTACTGAACTTTTTCTTTCCATTTGGCAAAGTAATTAGTAAAAAATTTTAACTAACTCTAAAGAACAAATACATTTCAGTTTGCCAATGTCATTTCCAATAAATTTACTATAAAAGCAGCAGTCTTTTTTTTTTCATTCTTTGGGTGCCAATTAAAAGATTATTTAGAGCTTGTTATCTTTAGAAGAGCATTTAAGATTAGTATATTTTTCTTTTCCATGTACCAACATATTGTCAGTATATTGAACTGTAGCCAAAAACTTAAAATACATATGTATTAAGGTATCAAATGCCTATTTTTGCTCATCTTACAGATATTGTAGGAACAATGAAAATTCACTTAGGAATTATGAGCTTCAAGTTTACCAACCTTGAGGTGATGACTGATGATTTGGGCTACCAAAAAGAAATGCATCTTTGGAGGTAGGAGTTTAGATACTGTTTAAAAGAAGAAATCACACACAATGTTTTAGCACTGTAGCTGTTTATAGGCTCCAAAAAGGAGAGGCAAAATCAAAATTTCAAAACAGTTCATGCCAAGTTATACAAAATATAAACAAAAGTTCAGTTATTTAAGTCCATGGAGTTCTGATATGCCAGTACATGGTACCATCACAGAACTTTTATCTTCTTTCTGAATATTAAGAAAAACTGAATATTAACAAGGCATCATTAACATCTGCTGGTAACAAGTCAATTTAAAGTTAAGTTTCATCTACTTATAGTTGAAATATTTATTTTGAATTTTTCAAGTTACAAAAGAGTACTAATCAAGTTCTTAATTTAGCCCCACTCAGTCATTTTTACATAAAACTTAATTGTGCTTTACCTGTATGAAAGAGCTCTTACAGAATCAACAAAAACATGGCATTGTTAGTGAACTGGACATAACCCGTCTGACTTCTGACGGGTATTCAGCTTGTTTAAGGATTTCAGCAGTAAGAGATGGTGTTAGGTCATAGGTTAAACAGCTGGTGCCCTTGATACCTACTTAGTTACTGTAAACTAAACCAGAAACCTTATATGAGAAAGTATTGTGGGAGAGAGTCAGCTTTCTTTTCTGGTTATCTTGCAGTGAATGTTGAGATCACTAACTTTTCTTATATTTAGAAATGCCATGTGTGTTATTCTTTTGAGATGAGTCATTTTCAGGACATGTTGATTTTAAAATTGGTAATTTTTTCCCTGCCTTGTTTCTACCAAGAACATTAAGTACTGTACAGGTACATGAACAATAAGTGCCCAGTAAGATTTTATGTTTTCAAAATGGTTTTTAAAATATGTAAATTCCCATTTAGACTACAGAATATTCAAAGTAAGTCATGGAAGTATAAGAAGAAGCATGTCAGCAAGACAGGGTGTGGATAGGGCCATATAGAGGAACATAGTTAGTTTAACTAGGTCCTAGAGTTTGGGTCTTAGCTTTCCAGGTCCAAAAACCTGCATTAGTAGGTGACTCAGGTGCTAAGAAATCTATAGAGGTTCATAGTGTTGGTTTTGAAGGCAGATTACCTAGTTTTGATTCCTGGCTGTACAACTTAAAATGCCTGTGTGATCTTGGAGACTGTGTAGCTTCTGTCTACCTTACTATGCTCACACATAAGATGGGGCATAATAGTTCCTAGCCTCCCAGACTTGTGAGAGTTGCCTGAGTCAGTACCGACCCGAGTACTGGAACAATGCCTAGAATATAATGGATGTATTTTATGTTGATACTAGTTTAGGAAGCAGATATTCCTCTCAGAAACTATTGTTTCTATCTCTTCTGTTCTCTTTCCTGATCACATTTCCTGAAAAGTTGAATTCTTATTGAGAAGATTACTTGGTGCATATGAAGTAAATAGAGTATCTTAAGGAGTATTTCATATAGGCTGTGGCCCAGTCTTTCAACAGACATATTTTTTCCTCCACACCAGATGGAGTATCTCTTCACTTGCTAGAGATTTTCATTACTAAAACTTTCTGTCTCCTCTCTGCACTCCTACTGAAGTCCATTTTTTAGATATTTAGATGCTGACAAACCTTCTTCATTGATGCCCTTTCACTGGTTTAATATAATTGATAAAATTCCAAACAGTTTTGTAGTTTTCTTAGACTACGAAGGCAGTCTTTCTAGCTGTTGTGTGTTAGTTTAGCATAAATAAAAGAAATGGTGTTTTCAAGTTTTGTGGGGGAGACCCTTACTATTGCTTATAACAGGCATTAAAGGAGCATAAGACCTTGTTAATTTTCCAGGGAAATAACATGTACCTTTAAAAACAAAAATATCAAAGTGAGCAGTATTAACCATGTATTTTAGCTACATAAATGGTGACACAAGTCCTGGTTCTAAGTGCAATGGTGTGAAAAGTAAAACTTTTTCACTGAATTGTCAGTTGAAATCAATATGGCCATTGCACTTAAAAAAAAGTTTTTTCAGTATCGTGTTAAGGACCACGATCCAAGAGCAGCTCATTAGTGTGTTCTGATACACAGCTCCGAAGCCCCTTTGGAAACACCTTAAATACTTTTTTAAGATGGGGTGGGTGTAGGGAAGAGGTGTCAGTCAATACATCAAGGCAGTGTCTAAGAGAACAGTGAATATTCGTATGCCATCTATGTGCAAGAGGAAGCAACGGTTGGGATTCTTAATGATTTTCCTAGGAACACAAGAACCAGACTGGTTAGTTTCTTTTGAGCATTCCAGGCTCTTGTTTTCTGGTCATAGGTTAAACAGCTGGTGAGAGGTGAGGGCAGTAAGTACTGTGGCACAAGCAAGAATGGCTGTAGAGCATCTTCACAGCCCTGCAGGAGCCAACTTGACTACTTGGGGCCTATACAGCCTGCACAGTTCTTTGCCTGTGCGACCACAGTGGGGAACCACAAAATTTCATTTTATTTCATAATGGTGCAAAATAAAAACTAGGGAGGCAAATTAGTGTAATTTCAGCTAACAATAATATTGCAAATTGCTGTCCTTTGGAAAAAGCTTTGCCCTCCATAACTTTAAAGAATAAATACGGCCTCCTCTAACAGAAGAGGGTATTACTGATAATATCTATCTACTCTCAAATGGTTTTATTATATAGTTATTATTAAGATATTTAATGCTTTATAGCTAACAAAGTACTTACACACATGTACTACCATTTCTTAACTCCTGAGTAGACCAGCCATTTTACCCCAAAAAATCAGGAGAAAAGTTAAATAAAATGCCTGTGCTAAGAACTAGCTGAAACCTAGATCTTCTTCCAGCTCTTCCTAATTCGATGCTGTTCTCCATTACAATATACTTTCTTCCGTGTCAATTAAAAAATTACATGGTTTCTTTTATTCAAATGAGGTATTAACTTTTGTCTGAAATGTAGGGAGAGTTGTAAGTGAAAGAAACCTAAACTCTGGTAATTCAGGTAAGGAGATTCGAGTAGTTCCTTTGGTGGAATATTTAAGAGAGTCTAAAGAGAGAGATGAGATCATTAAACAGTTCTTTGGAGTGGTTACAAGAGAATTTGTCAAATTTTTTTCTTTTTGCTGAGGAAGTTCTTAGGAAGAATCACTTGGCAAAGCCAGGCTGCTTTTGCTGGCAGCAGCTGCCTTTGTAAAGAGTCATGTACCTTTTTTGAGTAGTACACTGTGTTAAGGACACTGATCCTGTAATGTCCATGCCACAGGGAAGTCATTAAGTTCCAGATAGATAGATAGATAGATAGATAGATAGATAGATAGATAGATAGATAGATGACTGATAGATGACTTATTTAGGCCAGAACAACTCTTTATAGTTAAACCTCATTTGTAGTACTGCTTGGATGATAACCCCAAAATTTGCAGTAATAGTGAAAAGGATAGTTGCTGATGGCTAATAAACCTCTATACAAGCCTGTATCTTCAAATACTAACTTTTTGGAATGGAAAAGTGTGACTTACACATTCTTGATTATTACATGTCTTATACTTGTGGTTTTCCCTTTGGATAAATCTTGGCAGAGATAATTATTTGGAGTATAACTCCAAAAAAATTTGGAGAAAGGATCCAGAATGATGAAATGATTATTGGTTTGAAAGTGGGCCATCTGAAATTTCAGAGTGTGAATTAATTACTGTATAGTATATTTCTTTGTCGGTATGTATTCCCTTGTTTGTTTGCTTTTT